CTTTTTACAAAGCAGTGGTTATGAGTTCAGGCTCCAGAATCATTCTGCCACATATCAATTCTGTCACTTTCTAGCTGTGACCTTTGGTAGGTTACCTAACTACTCTGTGCCTTGGTTTCCTGAAATGGAAAATGGGTGAATTGATAGTCTCTACGTCAGAAGGTCGTGAAAGGGTTAAATGAGTTAATAAATGAAAACTGTTTAGAATAGTGCCTGATATAACTGCTCAGTTAATGCGAGTTGCTATTGATAGTGGAAGGTTTTTCTAAGAGTCAGCTTTTGGTTCTGTTAATATCTATTGTTTTTTATTCTCTATTTTGTTGATATCTGTTCTTTAATTCTTATTTCTTTGTGTTTACACTCCTTGAGTTTAACACACGGACAAATATTCAAAGCTGGACATTTGTAATGAATAACTATAACTACTTCAGATGTATCCTACAACCTGTAATTTTATGGTGGTATATCTGACTTCTTAATAGTCATAGGTATGTTCTTCCATGTCTGAAGTTTATTAACATTTATACCATTCTGAACAAGTGACAAGTACCTCAGCACATTTTTCACTTTTAAATCCCTAACTCTTTCCAATTCTCTCTATATTGGTATTCCCCAAAGTTATGACTCTGGATTGTTTAGGGGTATACTTTGCTGCTTTTTTTTCCTCCATTGCTTGCTTTAAACACAGACACACACACACACATTATATTAACTGTTCTTTATCATATCTGAGATACTTCATACATAGAATTCCCTTGGATTTATTTTGTTCTTGCTGGAGTTTCTCAAAGAGGGTCTCAGTTTGGTAAGCCTTCTGAGTTTTAGTATGCTTATAGCTAAATTTATTTTATTGTTTTATTAAAATGGTATTTTATCTCTATGTAAAATTCTAGGTTCAAAGTTTTGTGTGTTTTTATTTTTTCTTTCTTTAAAACTATCTCTCCAGGGGCGCCTGGGTGGCGCAGTCGGTTAAGCATCCGACTTCAGCCAGGTCACGATTTCGCAGTCCGTGAGTTCGAGCCCTGCGTCAGGCTCTGGGCTGATGGCTCAGAGCCTGGAGCCTGTTTCCGATTCTGTGTCTCCCTCTCTCTCTGCCCCTCCCCCGTTCATGCTCTGTCTCTCTCTGTCCCAAAAATAAATAAACGTTGAAAAAAAAAATTTTTAAACTATCTCTCCAGTGTCTTCTGGTTTCTACTGTCAGTTTTGCAAAGTCAGATGTTCATCTGATTCTTGTTCCTTTGTAGGCAATCTGTTCTTTTCTGGAAGCTTTCATATTTTTGTTTCTGGCAATCTTAATATTTACTATAATTTGTCTATGAAAATTTCCTTAAATACCTGTTTGGCACTCTGAGCTATTTCAGTCTGGATTTTTTCTTTAATTCTGAGAAATTCTTAGATTCTTATCTTTGTTTTCTCCTCTTTTTCTTCCCTCTGGTACCCCCAAAGTATTGATACTGGTATTTCTACTTTTGTCCTTCTTAAAGTTTTTTTCATATTTTCTGTCTCTTCATCCCTTTCATCTTAAAAAATTCCATTTGGGAATTCCTCAATTGGATTGTCCATCTCACTAACATGTTCGTAAGTTATTGATTCTTGTATCCAATCCATCAGGTTCTTTATTTTAGATACTGATTTCTTTATATCCGGGATTCCAGTTGGATTTTTCTTTAGGACACTTTTGCATTTCATCTTTAAGTACTGTCTCTCTTTCTGTCTCTCTCTCTCTCTCTCTCTCTCTCTCTCTCTCTTTTTGAGAGAGAGAGCACATGCCAGGAGGAGGGGCAGAGGGAGAGGGAGAGAGAGAATCTTAAGCAGGCTACCCACCCAACTTGGAGCCCAATGCAGGGCTCAGTCTCAGGACTGTGAGATCATGACCTGAGCTGAAATCAAGAGACACAGACACATAACCGACTGAGCTGCCCAGGTGCCCCAAGTATTCTTTTTTTTTTTTTTTTAACAGGTTTATTTTAATTTATTTTAAATTTTAAAAATATTTTTAAGTAGTCTCTGTACCCAACCTGGGACTTGAACTTAAAACTGTAAGATCAAGAGTTGCATGCTCCATTGACTGAGCCAGCCAGGTACCCTATTTTAAATCTTTGTTGTGTCTGGTCTAAAAGTTCTGCTCTAAATTACTTAATTTGTTGTTTGTCTTTTATGGCTGTTGTGTACTCTCAGATGTTTATCATTATTCACTGCTTTGTCTCCTCAAGATTTTGTTGCCAAGAAATAACTGGCAAATGATACATTTTTTACTCAGGTGATTTTTACATAAAACTCAGTGGACTTAAAATTATCTAAATTTAGCAAGATATTTCAATGATTTTTAAAATTCCTATCAAGAGGGGCACCAGGGTGGCTCAGTTGGTTAAGCGTCCTTGACTCTTGATTTCGGCTCAGGTCATGATCACAGTTTGTGAGTTTGAGCACCGTGTGGGGCTCTGTGCTGGCAGACCAGAGCCTACTTGGGATTCTCTCTCTCCTCTCTCTGCCCCTCCACGCTTGTGCTCTCACTCTCTCTCTTGAAAATAAGTTAAGAAAAAGTAATTTTGAAATAAATCTGGGGATGAACACCAAAGGAGAGAAGCAGGAGAAAAGGTGCAGTGCCAGGGTCTAGTCTAATGAAAGGACAACCTGACCTTCTTAATGGTGGTGGCAGAAACTATTCCTTCCTCCACTGCCCTAAACCAGATAACTGGTATCCACCAAATAACTTGCAAATTACCACTTTTCTAATAACAGGACTGAGAGAGCAACATAGACTTCCTTAAAAAAATGTATAAATAAAACAAATAACCTTAATATAATCAGAACTAAACAAATTACTGAGGAAAAACATTTTATTCTTGATAAAAATTAAAATTTTTTTAATGTTTTTATTTATTTTTGAGACAGAGAGAGACAGAGCATGAGCAGGGGAGGGGAAGACAGAGAGGGAGACACAGAATCTGAAGCAGGCTTGAAGTGTGAGATCATGACCTGAGCTGAGGTTGGACACCTCACTGACTCCAAGGTGCCCCCAACCTCATCTATTTGTTTTTTTCCCTAGGTTGTCTCCTCTCGAACTGACCCTTTGAGCTTTCTTTCTTGCCATCCTCTTCACCAGGTCCTGTATCCTCATGACCAGGTTAATTCATAGCCAAATTCTATAGTAGACATAACTAGTTTATTACACGTTCTTTGCCTGCCAAGCCTTGGGCATGCCCTCAAAATGCTTCTGAGTACAATATTTCAGGGAGCCAATTAGAGCTACCACTAAAGATGATACCTCATTGTCATTTCTGTTCTATCAGACTATTTTCCCTTCAGGCTTTATTTGTTTTGAAGGTTGAAAAGGAAATAAAGGTAGAATAGCAAGTAAAAGTGTTTTCTAATATCCAACGGACACTCTTCTGCCCTTCTCTTACTCCTCTTTTAGAGAGCTTTTTTTTATCTCCTATCCTTGTTTCTCTATCTGTGCTGTTTCTTATTCTCTCTACCTAATCAGTTTACACTGGGAAATTAACACATGTATATTGAGCATATGGATTAGATTTTGGGAAATCAGTGTATTCGTATTGAGCATATAAACTAGATTTTGAATTTTGATTGAGTAGATATAAAGGTCATTTCTTTCTTTCTGAATAGTCTCACTACTTCAGTCAGTCTCTTGAGGTAATTTCTTCTCTTATGTAATTGCATTTGGCATAATGGTATGGTAGACATTTTTTTCTGTCCTTATATTAGATTTTATTTGTAAAAAATTACGTGTCACCAAATCTCTGGAAGGTGTTTTGAATGCCTTCTTCCTGGAACTAAGTAATGGTCACCTGTTGCTAAAAAGGATAGGAATTTGAGAAAGGACAAGATAGAAATGCTGGCAGGGAAACAAGTATTAATTACTCTAGTTTTGTTCCTGGCTTAATATCAACTAGAAACTTTAAAAATATTAATATTTTAAAAAGACAGGAGAAAGTGGACCATCCTTAAGTGTGCCACCTATATCCATACTAAAAAAACTATAAGCATTGTATTTGTTCTTCACAATCACTCTGTTCAGTGAAGGTATTAGCTTCGTCTACTTATGAAGACAGTGAAGATTGTAAAATAAATAATTTACCCAAGGGCAAACAGCTAGTAAGTGGTAGAGTTGGGATTCCACCCCAGCTCTCTCTGACTTCAAATCTTATACTCCTTCCAATCTAACCATAGAAGAGGAGAAAATTTTAGCAGATTTTACCTTTTTTCCATAATGGACTTTATATTGTAGCCTTTTAAATTTGGGCAGTAATTACATATAGACATATTTCAAAGTCTTATACATGATTTGCGCCACTGGCACCATGACTAAAACGATAGGCTTCTGAGACAAATAGTTTTCTGAGCCTCTGAGGCAGTGTAGCCCAGGGATGAAAGACAGTGGTTGAGTCTGGTGTCAAATCCGGGCTGCATGAATCTTGTATAGGTTTCTTAGATCAACATACAGAGTTGTTTTGAGAATTAAAACACATAGAATATGTAGCACCATGCCTGACAAATTGTAAGCACTAAAAAGGAATAATATATGCAATATTGTTATATCTTCACTCTATCATGTTAAATATCTAGCTTCTCCCTGAGATTCTGAGAATTTTCACTAAGTTAACCCAGAAATTGTGCGCTACTCTAATGATATATCACACCTCCTATGTTGTTATCGGTGGAGAAGTAACAAATATCACCTCTACTCTTCATATTTTCATGTTTTGGTTAAATATTATAATATATAATAACTACTATTTGAAACATCCTATACTGTTTGAGTGTCTCCTGGTCAGGAAAATTTGCCTCACCACAGGATTTAAATTATTTCTAGAAAGATGCCAAAAAATGTGTTTGGGCAGAGGATTCTTGAAATAATAGTAGACACTGAACACCAGTAGAATTTACTGGTGTCTCTGTTTTAACCTTCTATTGTATGAAAATGCAGAATCCATATTTAGTAATTAAAACATTTACTGTCTCCTTTTCTTTTTCAGAAGATGAATAATCTTTCATTCAGTGAGTTATGTTGCCTCTTCTGCTGTCCACCTTGCCCTGGGAAAATTGCTTCAAAATTAGCATTTTTGCCACCTGATCCAACATATACACTGATGTGTGATGAAAGTGGAAGCCGCTGGACTTTACACCTATCAGAACGAGCAGACTGGCAGTACTCTTCTAGGGAAAAAGATGCTATTGAGTGTTTCATGACTCGAACCAGTAAAGGCAACAGAATTGCCTGCATGTTTGTGCGCTGTTCACCCAATGCCAAGTACACTTTACTCTTCTCACATGGAAATGCTGTTGATCTTGGTCAGATGAGCAGCTTTTACATAGGACTGGGATCACGGATTAATTGTAATATATTCTCATATGATTATTCTGGATATGGCGCAAGTTCTGGGAAACCAACGGAGAAGAACCTCTATGCAGATATAGAAGCTGCTTGGCTTGCTCTTAGGACAAGGTAAATGGTGATTGGGAGTATTTTCCACAGTTATTATGATGTTTAATTGAAATTGCTTTATATAAAAAAAGAATAAAAGTAGTTTTTATAACAACGTGTTTTGAAGTAGTAAATAGAGATTATATGTACCAAAATATACCTGTGGAGAGTTAAGCTCTTAGAATGTAATTAAAAATTTTTACAAACAGCATAGTTTTTACACAGATCTAATTTGTGTCTGTTAGTGCACGTGGGTGATTTTCTTTAAAATTTAAGCCAATGACAAGTTTTGGTTTTATAAACTTACTAGAGTGTGATATAAAAATCTTTATTCAGAGTAACCTGGGTGGCTCAGTCAGTTGAGCATCTGACTCTGGATTTCAACTGAAGTCACAATCCCAGGGTTGTGGGTCAAGCCTCACATCAGGCTATGTGCTGAATGTAGAGCCTGCTTAAGATTCTCTCTCTCCCTCTGCCCTTCTTCCCTGCTTGCACTTTCTCTCTCTAAAATAAAGAAAAAATGTTGATATGAATTAACAGTGATTAGCTAATCATTTACTTAAGAGTGTAAGAGACTGGATTGTTTTGGTGAATTGTAAGCCTGAGTCCTGAGTTTGCATTATTTTCTATAACAATCTCTTAGACAATGTGACTTACAGATATCTTATTGGAACTATTTTTAAAGTATTCATTCTGTAAAAGTGAGATTTTTTTACTTTGCATTCTGGACTAATAAAATTTGGAGAGATGATCTTAAGCTAAAAAAAAAAAGGGGGTAATGTTATGATAAATCATTTAAGCAGATTCTCTCATCATGTCAGTTATTCCTTGGTTATAACAATACATTTTTGGTAACTAGAAATTGCTTTAATCTTTCCTAATCACCAAGATACTTAGAAATTTTTCATGAAATACATTGCAGTTTTGTAGACTTCAGGTGTTTTTTTTTAATCAAATGGTTCCCGTACAATAAATAAAGATATCTTAGCTCAAGTTATTCTTCATATTATCTCCTGAAAAGCTGCCTGACTTCCAAAGTATTTTAGACTAAAGCTAAAGGACTTAAATTTACCATTTCTAATTTAATGTTTAAATATTAATGGTTTCGATTAGAACCTCAATTTTGTTAGCAGGCATAACCTTTGTTAGAAAATACCTTTAGAAACATTTATTCCTTGGGACACCTGGGGGTCTCAGTGGGTTAAGCATCCAACTCTTGGTTTTCGCTCAGGTCATGATCTCATGGTTTGTGAGTTCGAGCCCCATATCAGGCTCTGTCCTGATAGCACAGAGCTTGTTTGAGGATTCTCTCTCTCCCTCTTTCTCTGCCCCTCCGTTACTCGCTCATGCTCGCTCGCTCTTGCAAAATATTTCATTTTTTTTTTTAAAAAAGAAACATTTACTCTAAGATATAATAAAACTATAGTCTCTGAGGTCCATATAAAGGGGATTCTTAAATCATTTGCAATTATATGAAAACATACCTGATAAGTAGGAAAAAGTTGATAAGTAGTATAAGAAATAAATAGTTGGGGACGGGGCAGGGAATGATAAAAATTTATAAACTTAAAAACTGCCTTAAATGACCAAAGTCAAAATCGTCTCAGTCCTACAAACCAAAATAAATGAGTGCACACTTTCCAGACCCAGCCAATTGAATGGAGTATAATACCTGTCAGGGAAGTATGATAGTAGATATTTTTAATAACAGATTTATTGAGATATAACTCTTTTAAAGTACAACTTCAGTGGATTAGTACAATTTTTAAGGATGCTAAGTTAAAGCAGATAGCCTTTATTGTTAGTGCTTCTCAAAAACATGAAAAGATAACTTATTCAACCAAAACACACTAGAATCCAATAGAGTGTTCTCTGCCTATGTTAAAAAAAAAAAATCCACTCTTGTAAGTGGTTAACTTTTATTTTTCATCTTGTCTGATATCAATTTGAAGAAATATTTATGAAATTATTTCTAGTCTTGATTAATTAGTCTTTTTAAACATACTTAATGAGTGAAGCGCCTGGGTGGTTCAGTTGGCAGAGCATCCGGCTTCAGCTCAGGTCATGGTCTCACAGCTTGTGGGTTTGAGCCCCCGCGTCGGGCTCTGTACTAACGGCTAAGCCTAGAGCCTGCTTCAGATTGTGTATCTTCCTCTCTGCCCCTCCCCCGCTCACTCTCCATCTCAGAAATGAGTAAATGTTAAAAAACAATTTTAAACATACTTAATGATCATGCATACTTGATGAATGAGGAACAAGAGCAGAATAGATACATTTCTAAATAGTCCAATAGTCTTTGAATTCATTATCTGCGTGCTATAATGGAAAAGGCGCTGAACTGGGAGTCAGGGTACCTGGGTTCTAATTATAGATCTGCCTCTGACTTACTCTGACTTTGAACATCTGCTCAGGAAGCAGCTGAACTAGATTAAATGGTCTCTGAAGTCCTTTTAACTTGTACTGTTCTGAAATTCTGTTATTGCTTTGAATTCTCTGCTAAACTGGCAGCTGCTTCTACTCTGGAGCCTTGCCATTGCTAGCATTAGCCTAAAACCCATAGTTGCCACCAACAGTGCTGCGATTCAGCTAACGGCAGCCTTACAGCCTCAAGAGTTAATGCTGTGCTGCAAATGTTCATTTTCATAAAATTTCTTTACTGTTTGAAATATGTGCAGTTAGGTCTTTTTAAAGAAAAGGGTTTTCTGAGTTTATTTACATTTGGAGTCAGTCTGGAGTAGATATGTCCAACCTCTGGGACATATCCAAATGCTTACATAGGACTGATTGGAAGAAATTATGGATGGTCATTATTACCTGGATGGTTCAGAGTCTTGCGCCCCTGGAAAGGGCCAGAGGAAGCACGTAGGGTTTGTCTTGCTATTTTTTTTGTGTTCAGATACTTGAAAAGCTCCATTACCTTTTCAGAAGACCAGAGGCTGTTGTGCAAGTGGCCCTTCCCATCCAGAAGTGACTTCTTTCAGATTTCTAGAGTGGAAGGGCATGTTTGATCTCACTCTAACCCATAATTCTGTATTTATTAGCTCCTGTAGCACCTCCTTTCTGTTTGGAGTACTTTACAGTTGGGACAATTATACTATAGGTAGTAAACAGTGCTTGAAGCACAGTATATACCTGATATTGATCAGTGAGTTGATACATTTAAGTCTGCAGCATTTTTAAAGGGGGTAAGGCAGTTCTCTTGAGGTTTTAGCATGAAGTCTATTCATAATTAACTGAATCATAAGGCATTTGGAATTCTCATTCATCTGTTTATCTTTCCAATCATTAGTCCATTTCTATGAGCAAATAAAGGCAAATTTCAGGAAAAATAGTAATTTGCTTTTGGCTAAAATGATACATATTTTTTATTCATAACATACAGTAACTGTATGTTAAGATTTTCATCACTGTGACTGGCTTCAGAAAATAAAATGAGCCACTTTTAATATCTAGACAAAGAAAGAACTTTTTGTTACTTTGAATGGAAGATAGATGGTAAATGTCTATGAAGTGTCAACCCATTAAAATATCAATGATACAATATGTTCAGCATTTAGTAAAAAATACGCCACATTGAATTGCATAAATGATATAATGAATTCCTTTAAGTTTAAAATTTTAAAAGACCTCAGCCATTATTTTTCTAAAAGATGAAACAGATGAAAAATGCTAAGAATAATAGCATTAAATATAATGATGGCTAAGAAAATGTATATTTTAAATATAAATTTGTTGACATGGTCTCATTCTGAGTCATTCTATTATAAGATTAAGTCCCTAGAAAATGATTGAATATTTCATACCAGTCCAACTCTCCACTTTATTTTTTCTTTTTAACTCCTGAACTTTGTAGATATGGCATTCGCCCTGAAAATGTGATTATATATGGCCAAAGTATAGGGACAGTACCATCTGTGGATCTTGCTGCTCGGTATGAGAGTGCTGCTGTTATTCTTCATTCTCCTTTGACCTCGGGAATGCGAGTCGCTTTTCCTGATACCAAGAAGACCTACTGTTTTGATGCATTCCCAAAGTAAGTATCGATATTCCAAATCAATTCAAAGAAATCTTGTGGGAATTTTTTTCATCACTTAAGGAATCCATAATATGATTCATTCAGCCATGAGCTTCTATTTTACACATATTATAGAAATTGTGAAAAACTAGTTTTTGAAGAGGATGGTGGCAGGAGACCAGTCAGGAGGGTGTAATGTTTGAGCAGTTGTAATCCGAGTGAAAAGTGCTAAGGGCCTCACACCCCAGAGAGTGGCACCAATAGTATTAGAGATAAGGGATGAATTTGAGAAATAAAATTGACAGAACTGCATGTCACAGTGAATGTAGGATGCAAAACAAGAGAACTTGAATTTGATTCCTAAGGTTCTGACTTGAGCTGCTAGTGGATAATGATACAATTCAGTGAGACATGATACTGGAAGAGTGGAGGTGTAGAGGAGAAATGAGACACGTGTGCATAAAAATTAGTGAATGATGTCTAATTAAGGATAGCTGATTTACAAAAGAAGTGAATTGCAAACAAGTTGAGTCTTAAGAATAAAGTATTGCCATCCTAGAGGCACCTGGGTGGCTCTGTCAGTTAAGCGTCCAGTTGGCTCAGGTCATGACCTCACCGTGAGTTTGAGTCCCACATTGGGCTCTGCATTGACAGCACGGATCCTGCTTCAGATCCTCTTGTCTCCCTCTCTCTCTGCCCTTCCCCAGCTTGCTGTCTGTCTTTCTCTCACTCTCTCAAAAATAAAATAAAAACATGAGAAAAAAAAAAGTATTGGGGCACCTGGGTGGCTCAGTCAGTTAAGCATCTGACTACAGCTCAGGTCATGATCTCACAGTTTGTGAGTCGAGCCCCGCGTCAGGCTCTGTGCTGCCAGCTCGGAGCCTGGAGCCTGCTTCGGATTCTGTGTCAGCCTCTCACTCTGCCCCTCCCCTGCTCGCGTTCTGTCTTTCTCAAAAATAAACACTAAAACAATTTTTTTAAAAACGTGTTGCCACTGCATAGTCTGCAAACACACAGTATTATACAAATTTGAAAGAACTACTTCTGCTTCTCAAGACAAGATAAATGGAAATTCCTCCAGCTCCTCTTCATAATTGGGAAAAAATGGATGGCCCTTTTTTCTCAGAGGGCAAAGGCAAGAAGTGAGAAGCTGGCAAATTTCAGTCTCGCTTCTTTTCCCCAACTGGCAGCTATACAAAGAATTTTTTTGTGAATGATAGATGGGCCCAAGGCCAGAGTCCTCACTTGCTTCTTCATAAAAACAACAAAGGTCATTTCAAAAGCAAATTTTTTCATCATTAGCCAGTAAGGGGTCATTTTTGTAGGGAAGCTAATGATGGGAGCATAAGATCTTATCACCAGAGCAAGCTGTGAGAGGGTTTTGTTTTTACATTAATTCAGGGTTTTTGTTTTAGAGTATAGTGTATTGGAAGGTATGTGCGTTATATTGCTTCTGTCTAACTGAACAGTAGGAATGGTAGGGAGTATTTGGGGTAATGCTGTTGCCAACTTATATTCGCTGTCCAGCTCCCTCTTGAATTTCTGCTACACCAACAAAGAAAGCAGCACTTAACTGCAAACTGTCTGAAAAAGGTCATAATTTTGTTAAGTTTTAAAATTTGTTTGTAAGAGTTCTTTGTGTAGCTTATGTCTCAGTGTTGCCTTTTTAAAATTGCTTTGATCTCTGATATTTAAAATGTTCTCTGATATCTGATAATTCTTAGTTGTCTGTTCATGTGTAAGAGAGGAACTAAAGAGCGGACCTGAAGCAGGTGACAAAGGCTTGTTGACTGAGCTTAACTATACAGGGATCTGTTCATATCAGTTAGTTGGGGATCCCACCCCATGTCACTATTTTCTGTATCTTTCCTCTTAATGTGGATGTCGTCTTCAACAAAGATTCTAAAAGTCCCCTCTGGGTACACCTCGGTGGCTCAAGTCGGTGAAGCGTCCGACTCTTAATTTCGGCTGAGGTCAGCCTCTGAGCTAAACAAACTTTGAACAGATTCTGTAGACTCCCATCACCTGCTTTCATCCCCATATCAATTCCTGACCTTCGGGTGTATGCGGTGGTATAAATTGGGTTGTGTCTTCACTTTATCTTCTATCCTCTTAAAATTGGTTTTCTCTTATACTTTTAATTTGTTACCCAGCTCCAAAATTATGTATTTTTTTATATTCTCCCTATTTCAGGGAGTTGATGCCACAAGACAAAAAAACATTTTGTTGTCATTTTAGTAGATTAAGAGGCAGAAAAAAATACGAGTACAGAGAGGTATAAAGTTAGCATATGTTTGAATGGTCCTTAGTTTCCTCTTCTTCCAAACTAAGTTTTCTTTGTGCTTAATATTGTAGAAAGGTACAGGAGGCTAACAGTAACTATTGAATGATTCCCCTGAAACAGAAGTGCCTAAAGTTAGCTTCCTCAGATAATCTTAAGAAAAGGAGTATGTAAAGTGACTTTTAAATCTTATTTGAAATCCAAGAGGCATCTGTTTCTTCTGGTTTGATTCAAAGACTATTCTGGTATTCGGTATGGCACAAGAGAATTTGTTTTACGTTTCTTTTCATAGATAATTCGTTGACTTCCTTCTGCCTTCTCTTCTCTTACAGCATTGACAAAATCTCTAAGATAACCTCCCCAGTATTAATAATTCATGGGACTGAAGATGAAGTCATTGACTTTTCACATGGCCTCGCATTATTCGAGCGTTGCCAAAGACCTGTGGAGCCTCTGTGGGTTGAAGGGGCAGGTCACAATGATGTGGAACTTTATGGACAGTACCTCGAAAGGTTGAAACAGTTTGTGTCACAGGAACTGGTAAATTTGTAAAATATTCTGTAAATTTGCATACTGGGTTTTCTTTCCTTGCTGAACTGCACTCTTTGGTAAATAACATAAAACCTGAAGGTTTTGTTTGCAAATCATGTCAGTTGCCTTCATAATTGTACAGGTAATGATTTGTTAACAGACTTAATGAAGGTTTTAATTACCAGAACTAGAAACTGGAAATAACAGTATCATGCAGTCAAGCTGTGTAATTTATATTTTTTCTGTGAATTTTTTTTTAAACATCAAAATGAGTACTGTATGAAATTTTAATTCTATAAAATCAAATGCTGTAAAAGTATTGCCAAATGCTTTTGCATATCAGAAACAGATTTATAAATATTTTTAAAACATCTCAATGTACTAAATCTTATCCAGGTATACAAATGTAATATTCTTTCAATAAAAAGCTGTATATCTAAAACAATTCAAGTACTCATAATAGAATAAACTGTATGAAAATGTGCAAGTTCACTAGAGATGACCTAAGCCCTGTTGTACAGGGATAAAGGTTTAAACACTTATTTTATTGTAAAGTACATTGAATTTTCTGTATTCTCTGGTTATCATACATTTTCTCCTTAAAAAACAAATGATGTAAGTCTTAATTTTTATGCCATCTATTAATTTACCAACTAGTTACCTTGTAAATGAGAAGTCATGATAGCACTGAATTTTAACTAGTTCTGATTTATAGGTTTGGTACTATGAGGCAACTACTTAAAATTCTCATTTTTGTTTTTTAAAAGGCATTTAGAGCTTCAAGAATGATTTTGTATGCAATGTTGTTTTAAATTTTGACTAATCTCATAGAATTGCTGTACTCTCCATTATAAGAAAACCTGAGAGTCCGTTCATTAGATGTTCTTCAAGACCACAAACAGGCTGGCTATTTGGTCATTTTTCACTTTGGCTATTTTTAATAGGACCTGTTGTTTTAGATTACTATCTGAGAATTTCATGGATTCACTCCTGATACAGGAGATAAGAGAATATTTAATTCATAACTTTTATATTAACCAATGTAGTAAAAAACAAAGCTCACACACAAAAACTAAGTTGCCTTTCCTTGAATGAATCCTGCCTGAATAAAACAATGAAAGAAAAATAAAAATAAAATTAATGGTATGTAGTCTAATTTGTAAATGAATGAATATTGAAATAATACACACTGTGGATATATTTTAAGGCCTTATGTAGTTTTAATTGTTCTGCTTGTTCTGTGGTTATGTCTAAGACTATAGTATATGATTCTCTTCAAAGTATATCAAGTATTGTGAATGCTTTGGTTCAGATGTGTCAAATTAACAGTAAAACAACAAATATAATACCACCCAGCTGTGCCTGTTTGCCTTCTTCCATGTTTCCCATCCCTTACCATCAAGTCGGGAAAAAATTACCATTCATCTTAATAGAGCATAGTTCTGTAGTTTTCTAAATTTTATCATCACTTCTTTTTTTGGAGAGAATTTTTTGCTTCTCAAGATTGTTATGAAGCCTGTACAATTCCTATTTTTGTACAACATAGACACCAGAGTGTAGCTAAGTGTTTTCTTTGATTACCTGTTAAATTTAAAATATTGATCATACCAATTCAGTATTCATTCATTCATTCAACAACTGTTTATTTAGTCATGTAGAACCCTGTGCCAGATAAAGATGGAAGTCAACCATGTCCTCATAGACTTCATGGTGTATGTAACCAAGGACACAGACACCTTATTGCACAAGTATTGCTATTTGGATAAGGGCTGAAGGATATTTGTAGCTTATATATAATAGGTAAAAGGTACTCTTGGGAGGGGAACATGGTGGGAAGGGCAAGGAAGAATTTGACAAAGAAGTGATCTTTGATCTGAGCTTTAAGGATGACTAAGAAATGACTAAACTTGGTGGCCAAGGGAAATCCTTGCTGCCTGAAGGGAACAGTATATGGAAGCCTAAAGAAAGGATAGTGCATGTAAAATGTAAAAAGACTGCCCAGAGGTCAAGGGGAATGGATGGCATAAAGATGAGGCTGGCAAATTAGTTAGAGGCACAATCATACATGGTATCATGGGCCCTGATCATTATCCTAGACACAATAGAAAGCCATTGATAGGATTATGAAATTGGATTTGTCAGGAGTTTATAGATGAAAAAAAAAACCTGGGTATTTTTAGTTTGCCAAAAATAGCATGTGAGGCGGTTATAATTGGCTGTAATCTTAGGATGCTGAAAAATCCATCATGGGAAGATAATCTCATACAAAATGCCAATCAGGCCACATCTGTAAATATTAATTTCATTTCAGGATCCAGTGAAAGGATATTCACAAACTAGTGCGAATTCTGGAATGTTTTACCAAGTTGGAAAGAGTCCCACAAACTAAAGCGCAAACCATGTAACTAAGGAATGATCGCTATGTTCAAGTATTTGAGAGACATGTATAATTGATTCTTTTTGACTCAAGAGTAGAACTAGGTAAAAACTGCAAAATGGCAGGTTAGAGCTCAGTATAAGAAAGAACTGTATGGTTATTTGTCCATGAGGGAAAGGGATTGCCTCCTAAGGTCAATGAGGATCTTCCCAAAGGAACAGAGCAGAAGCCGAATGACGTCTGTCACAGTGCTGCAGAAGAAATTCCAGATTTACATGTGAAGCTGAACTAGATGGACCATGGAATGTCCCCTTTAATTAAAGATTTTATATTCCATTTCTCTTTCTCCTACCTTCTCAGTATTGCCCACTCTGTGATATCCGGAAGACAGTATCCTGTAGAAGAATTGACAATCAGATCTGGGTTCTCTTCTCAACTGATACCAATTGGATCTGTGCCCTTGCCAAGTTACTTCTTTGAACCACTAGAAGTTTCCTCACTAGAAATGAAGAGATGGAACTGATTGATTGATGTAATCCCTTAAGATTTCTGATATAATGAAAACTTCAACCCCGTTCATCTGTAATGACCCCTCTAAAAAATTTTAACCTGTAGCCTCAGAGAATTCAGTTTGATATTTGGCTTGGTGCATACCAATGTGGTACAATCTGGATGATAACACTAATCCTGGGGAAATGGTCAGCAGTGTACCTAAATCCTGCCAGGTAATGTGTACTTGAGTACATAAAGCAGATCAAGAACTTTAATAAGTTGGTTTATCATCTATACACTTTTCCAGACTTCTAACTTAAATTTACCAGTTCTATATCCTACCTGAGAATATATTGCAGTTTTTCTTGGTGATATCTATAAATATATAGGTATTGCTCACTTTACAAATGCTTGAACAAAGAAAATGTTTTAAATTGTAAACTGACATCTATTGTCCTATAAACAATGTTCTTGGTGCATTTAGATATTCTATGTGACAAAAACAACTTTTCAAGAACAAATTATGGAAAGCCAGATGAACTCATAAAAACTAGATGTGAAGTAGCTTAATCCCTTCATTTTACAGACAAAGAAGCAAACCCAAAGAACAGAAGTAACTTTGCCAAAATCTACAATGTAATTGTCATTAGTTGTACTGCTTATCTTCTCTTCATCAAATTTATCTGCACTAATGTACCAGTGAACCTTTTGAATTATATTATTTAAGTTGGTAGCTTGTGCCTTTCACATTTGTCAAATTAATGATTTGTATATCTTAAGTATTTTAACACTAATTCATTTCACTAGGCTCAGTAACAGCTATTTGGTTGTGTTACAACCTAATGAAGATGGTAGCTTTGGTCACAGGAATAAACAGGTATTTACTATAAGCAGCACATTTACTACAAAGTATAGCATTGAGGAGAAGCAGTTACATTGAAAAAAGCATTAAAGCAGTTATTACAGATCGGTGATGGGTGGGCTTTTATTTTTTGCTTTAATTTTAAAACAGGCATTATATTCAAATACTGTGGTAGCATGCTGCATTCTAATGATGGTAAACATGCCAAATGCCCAGTAACCAAAAAACTATGCATTTGATACTTGAAATGGTGTTGTGAGTTACAATATGCAGAAAGGAGAGAGAAGACATTTGTCTACTACATTGCTAATAGATTGTGCATCTGACTCAATAGTTGAGTAATGCTAAGGAAGGAAGCCTGGGAATGACCCACTAGACCTGAGTTAAAAAAAAAAAAAAAAAAAAAAAAAAAAAAAAAAAAAACAGGAAGTAAAGCCTAGAGTCTTTATAAATGTCCGTGAACTAAAAGCTGTTAAACTGGTTCTTTCATTAGAAACCAGATGGACTTGAAATAATTTTACTCCTCTTTATCTTGTAGGCCATGTACTAAATTTGCATAACACAATTATAGTGCTTCTAGAAAAATGTTTCAATAGTGTGTGTGCCTTAAATGAAACCCTTATATTAGAAAAAATAAAATCATGGGGAAATGCTGTTTTTAAATTATTGATGGTGTTTGTATTTACTGATAAAATGCAAATGTCTCCAATTGTCCTAGATTAATTCAGGATTGAGGGTTTGGGGATTTTATCCCCCCCCTCAAAATTGCTACCTACAGCAGTATATTGAAATGAGGAGGTAAGGGTAGCCGGTAGGTTTATGGATATAGGAGTATCTGAATTTTAAATTTTCAAATGTACCTGCTCTATTCCAAATTATCCAAAGTATGGTGGATTCATGGACTATAAATCAAGACATTCAATTACCATTTTACATTATAAATCTTAGATGAAATGTGGGTTTGTAAATACATTCAAATTTAAAACTGGCAAAGTCAGAGGTCACATAGATTGCTTCACCGAAGTTAAAGATTTTGTTTTGTTTTGTTTTTAAGTCTGGGCTTCTGAAATCAGGATCCCATGATAAACCAAAGAGAAGTAACTCCAAATAAGGTTTTGGGCTGGCTGTCAGAGCAGCAAATAAAAGGATTCCTTGCATTTGGATGATGTTTTCTGGGGGGTGGGAGATGGTGCTTTGCAGGGAATATAACAAACTGAATAGTATCTGAAACATCTCCATGAGTACCAAGTCTAGTAACAAGTATTTTCTAAGCAATGTCTTCATTTTACA